TATTATTTTATTCACTTATTCATTTTCGAACTTTAATTACGTGCTAAATAGTCGAGAAGAAATTTCAACAAGAATCTTTGATTTTTGTCCTTTTATTTTATTATTATTATTATTTTAATAAAAGGTTATTGACGATGGAATCTACCCTACAAATGACGTAATTTGAAAAGTCAAATTACCGTACAAAACTAAATTGTTTTAACAATCTTAAGTTTTCTTAAATCAACCATCTGCGTCGAGATCAAACCAATGGACCATGAGCATTAGAATGAAATAGTTGTCTCATCCATTTAAATTATGATCGAATTGATTTTAACTATCTCAAATTAATTAAGTAATTAAGTAGATAGAGCTACAAATTATTAAATTTATATATGTTACTGTAAAAAGATGCATCCATATAAATAATATAAAATAAATATATATTCTCAAATATGGTAGAAAATTAAAAACTTTATAAAATAATATCCTCCGAATGAAACGTATCCACGGAAAACAACACAATATAAGGGAAAAACATACTCATATTATATTTTCTGAAAAAGTTAAAACTCTATGACATTTAAAAAAAAAATATTAATTTTAAATTACAAATCATGTTCATAAACTTTCGCATTCTTTTTTCTATCATATTTGGAAGCTAGTATACGAGTCAGTTTATACGTACATCAACTACAGATCGTACATGATATTGATGGTTAGGAATTACATTTGATCGTACATGACATTGATTGTTAGGAATTACATATATAATAGTAAATATTCTATATAGATAGCCACTGTGATTTAAGATTATGTCCATTCAATTTTCTAACATAGTATTTTTAAGTAAAAAGTTTGAATTATGCTTCTAAAAGTTTTCAATTTGATCTGAACAAATTTTTTTTTGCCACTTCAATTAATGCTCATAACATGTGTTGACTGTATTAATTAAGGATTATATATATATATATTAGAGATTATATGACAAATAGAGAAAATGACATGTAATAATTAAAGCATTAACATGACAAAATTAACAAGCACAATACCGAAAGTTTGTGCACATACTTGAAACTTTTTAAAATTTTATAATTAAGCCGCCATAACTCTTATAAACTCGAGAATAAAACTTATAATTTAATCATTTATTGATGAAAAATTTTGTATGACTTGTTGATCAAATATCGCACCACAGAGATTCGATATTGATATACAAAACGAAGAACACTGAACACCGGTGTGATGCTGCCACACACACTCCGATGCCTATGTCAGAACTGGAGGTTGAAAGTTGTATAATAAAGAGTAGAGTCATATTAGCATTCCTCTAGGGTTCAGCCTCTTTTTCTATTTATATGGTTCGAATCATCATCTTTCCGAAACTAGGTTTCTATACATTGTCGTGGGTCAGATATCAGATGGAAGAGTCATCTTTCATTGCATAGTCCTATCAAGTCAAGATGAGTTTGGGCTCATTGTCGAAGGACGTCACATCCAGTTGTCGTCCAAGATTTGGCTGGCAGCTGAATACTGGTTGGTTTTATTGGGTCAGACGTTACGCTTCGACTATCGACTGGACTTCTGAGTTTGAGCTTCTTCTATCATGGGTCGGTCTTAGATCTATTCTGTAACTTTTTCAAGCCTGACTTTATATACCCATGCATAACACCATTCATATATATTTTAGACATCGAATTATAAATCATGATTATTTATCCATCTCAGATAAAGTTAGTAATATATATATGTACACACACAGCTAATTTACTTAAAATTTTGTATTCCACGTACTCGGGTGAAAATGAAAGAAACCGAATCGAAAGACGACATGATATCCACGTATATAAAAAAAATGCAATTTCAACGGTGGACTTTTTGTCACTTCGTATTTGTTCTTAGCAGAGCAGCACGACGTCGTTTTGCATAATTCGTCCACTCGCCATGCATTTCTAACAGATAAAAGTAGGTGAGACAGAGACTGATAGTCTTATACTCATAAAAAAAAAAAGAAAAAAAAGTAGGTGAGAGTTCTACGTGGCACAATATGAGTGGCTGATCATACGAAACGTGGCCTCTGCATTTCCAATCTCTTTAAAAAATAACCACGGATTTTAGAGAGCAACAAATAATATATATATATATATATATATTTGAAATAGTGCTATTGGTGGTTTTATTTATTAGTGTAACTTATTCGATTATAAAATATTTTTTCATGATTGAATTAAAAAAATTGTTAAACTCATTCTTTTTTTTTTCCTTTTGTGTAACGCACGTCATCATAATTGAGGTATATTATTCCAAGATTATTTGCTACCCAACCCACTCCTCTAAAAAAAATATATATTAATTTTTCACCAAAGATTTCTTAATTAAAGGGGAAATAACAAAAACTACCCATCTATTATAAGGTTAATATAACAACTTACAGCATGGTCTATTTTTAAAATTTTTTAAATTATTACAATTAAATCCAACCACTAACAAAATTATAATGATAGGTCTAGTTGTAAATATTTTATAGTCTTACGAGAGTGAACATTGAAATCAAGACTCAGAAGATTATAATTATACCAATTTATATATAAGGATGATTTTTATAATTTTTACTAGACTTTTTTAAATAATCAATGAAAAACTTCCACTTTGTATAGCTAAAATTCTAAAAATCTTCCTGTTTACAACTATTTCAAAATATTGCATAAAAATAGTATTTCAAAAAACAATATTTGTATTTTCATTTATTGAAAAAAAAAATACAACCACAATCAATTTTTTAAAGATTGATGTTAAAACTTTATTTTTATTTTTTTAATTCCGAAAACAAAAGAATATCTCTTTTTTATTGTCCTTTCTTTTGTTGTTATTTTGTTTCGTGATTTTCATACATACTTTTAACTTTTTAAGCTATCGATGAAAAAATATTTTCAGAAAAAAATATCATCTTTTGTCCTCAAAGTAAAAGGCCAAAAACTTATTATATATTACTGTCCATATTTGGAAGACCTACCTTTTCCTCAACGACGGATTAAAGCTTCCTGAGAATGAATATTTTCTTGACATCTAAATATGCTAATGGTATGAAATTCTTAATTTAATTTTTAATCTTTTAAAATTTTTAATGTATTAAAAAGATCTAATTAAGTTTTTAGGTACAAAAATTGTTAAAATTTATTAACTAAAAACTAATTTATCATTAAATTATTATTATAATTACATATTAAGAGAGGTAGTAGATTGTAGACAGGTTAGTTGGACATATATTTCACCTAAAAGAAATGAATTTTATTGACTAATAAATCATATTTTACTCATAAATAAGTTAGATTTTATGTGCCATGTAGCATTGAATGACACGTACATGTGTCCAAAATATGTTACTAAAATAAAAATAATTTAATGATAAATTAATTCTTTGTTTTACATAATTTAGCCAATTTTTTTTTATATAACTACCCAATTGAGGTTTTTTAATATAGTAAAAATAAATCAGAAAATTTTAAAAGATTAAATCCAAGATTGAAAATTAGCTCAAAGATTAGGGACTAATTTATATATTTAGCCAAAATTGAAAAAAGATAAAAATAAAAATGTATTTTCCTAATTGACCACCAGCCAATTAAAATTTGGAAGTGAGTGAGATTTTTCCATTATTAATTTTTATATTGTTTCGGATTTTACTAAATTTACATCAGTTTCTTGACACTGACATCTTCAAAATAAAAACATAATTGAAAATGGGTCTTATGATACTTTTCTAGGAAAAAAAATAAGAATAATAAAATAAAAAAAACATAAAAATAAAGAAAGGAGGTAGGATTTTTTCTTAAAAAGATTTTTTTCTTTTTTAATTCAGCACACGTGTGAGATGTAGAAAAAATTCAAACTTTCAATTTTTTTTATTAGAATATATGTCTTAATCACGGTTGAGTTAACCTTAGGTTGACTTCTTAAAACATATTATTAAATGTCGAAATCTGATAAATATCATATAATTGTGGACACAGTGCATTTTAAAGTTTGAAACTCAAAACATACAAATATTATTTTTAAAATTTCGACCGTTTCAACATGATTGCTAGAGTATTATGAACGAGAATTGAGAATTGAGAATGGAAAATGAATCCCTTTGTTTCGGAAATTGTATAGTTGCTATTATGAAAATTTCCGGATGTTTTTTATTTAAATTGAGAATCCTTTTCGGACGTCTTTTTTCTCCTTTATATAGGGGATATGACTTTACCTTTCATTTTCAAGAATTTATGGATTATTAAAAGTATGATTGTTGGTTCTCCTTCAACTAAATTAATTAATTTGTTTTGAGTTTATGTTTAACAGTCAGTGGGTGAAAGACTAAATATTCTATTCTTTTTTTTGGAGGAAAGAATATTCGATTTTTCAATGGTAAAAAGTGTATTTATGTACGTAGCTTTGTTGGAATTGATATAAATCAATTTAGTTCAATTCAACTAAAATTAATTAGGAAAAGACTTAGCTCTTTGGGGAGAAATTTCTTCATTCACACTATTAAATATTTGACAACTAAGAATGAGAAAAAAAAATGAATTGTCGGATATTTAATGGTATTAAGGAGTCCATTTTACTATCTTTAATATTTACAAAATAAATAACATTAATTATAATTATTTATTAGTTATACTTTTTGAAAATAGATTAATTAATATAAGTATAATTAACCAGTTAAATTTAATCAAATCATAATGTAATAGCCATTTTAATAATTGACCTTAAATTAGTTAGTTAAATTGTTATTCCTTCAACTATGCTCCAACGGATATTTAAGAGCATTAATTTTTTCCTTTTTTCAAATATGTGTTCTTCCAAACAGATAATAATAATAAAAAAAATAAAATGGAAAGCTATTAATTGAGTATTAATATTATTCAAAATGTGAAATAATTTTATAAAATTAATGTCAAAACTCCATTTCATCAACTCCCCCTAACCCCACCTACTCCACATTACAATTACTTGCACGAAAATTTCAAACTAAAAATAAATAATAAAAAAAAAAAGAAAAACCAATAATCCACCCGCTATAAAAAATTCCCCTCAGATTTTCTCGGCAGCCAAACAAATTAAACAGCCACCGAACCCAAATATGGATTCCCAAATTCCGACCGGCGACGACTTCATTTTCCGATCAAAACTCCCGGACATTTACATCCCCGACCACCTCCCTCTCCACACCTACTGCTTCGACCGCCTATCCCAATTCCAACACCGCCCATGCCTCATCAACGCTGCCACCGGCCACGTCCACACCTACGCCGCCGTCCACCTCACCGCCCGCCGCGTTGCCGCCGGCCTCGCCAACATCGGCATCAGCCAAGGCGACGTCATCATGATCCTCCTCCAGAACAGCCCCGAGTTCGTTTTCGCCTTCCTCGGCGCTTCCTACGGCGGGGCCATCAGCACCACCGCCAACCCGCTGTACAAGCCGGCGGAGATCGCGAAGCAGGCCAGGGCCGCCAACGCTAAGGTTATAATTACTCAGTCCGCGTTCGTGGACAAGATTAAGGGCTTCGCGGAGGAACGCGGCGTCAAAATTTTGTGCACCGATTCGCCGCCGGACGGTTGCCTGAGCTTCTCGGAGCTGACGGAGGCGGACGAAAACGACATTCCGGCTGTGAAGATCAACTCGAACGACGTGGTTGCGCTGCCGTACTCCTCCGGCACCACCGGAATTCCTAAAGGCGTTATGCTTACGCATAAATCTCTCGTCACCAGCGTCGCCCAGCAGGTCACAAAAAATGAAATAAAAATATATTTATTTATTTATTTTCTAATTTTTAAAAGAAAATTAGAGATTTTAGAAAGTTAAGGTTTTAAATGAAATATCTCTGTCTGTCTCAATTTCAAGGAAATGTGAGATGGACATAGATATTTTAAGAGAAATTAAAAAATCTTATAAGATATTTAAATTAATCTGTAAATATTTATGTGTTTCTAAATAAATTAAAAATAATTAAGACATGAGTATATTATTAATATTTTATTGGTATTTTTCTATTTCGTTGATTTTTTTGTAATATGATAGAATTGTATGGATATAAAAAATGTCGAAATAACAATTTATCCATCATGTCTACGTCGAATTTATAGATACGGAAAAATGTCAGGGATATTTAATGAGATGTTAAAATGCAGGTGGACGGAGAGAATCCGAATCTATATTTCAAGAGTAAGGACGTGATCCTGTGCATTCTGCCGTTGTTCCACATCTACTCTCTAAACTCCGTTCTGCTCTGCGGACTACGTGTCGGCGCAGCCATTCTCATCATTCAGAAATACGACATGTCGTCCCTCCTCCACCTCATCCAGGCCCACAAGGCCACCGTGGCCCCCTTCGTCCCTCCCATCGTCTTGGACCTCGCCAAGAATCCGGACATCCACCGTTACGACTTGTCGTCCATAAGAATCGTCATGTCGGGCGCCGCACCCCTCGGCAAGGACCTCGAGGACACGCTCAAGGCCAGACTCCCCAACGCCAACCTTGGACAGGTAATTCCATTTCCTTTTATTTAATTTTTTACTTTTTTTTTTTGGAATTTACAAAGGTATTGTTTTAATTGAAATAGTAGATGTCACCAAATCATAAATATGAATTTTAAAATTCTCATTTTGGTCTATTTTAGCCAGACAAAATTTTTTAAATTGGGTCACTCAGTTGAAAAAGTCCCAAAACACTATTGGACTAAAATATATATTTAGCTATTCTTCAAAAAAGAAAAACATGTATTTAACATATAAATAAATCAATAGGTTGGTATGGTATTAATTAGGTTTGGTCAACTTGGTGTGGTTCCACTACTGGCACGAAAAAATATATATAAATGTCTTATTTTATTTGGTTTCTTAAACCTTACCTAACAAATCAAAAATTGACTTTATTATTTAATTTTTTAACAAAATTTTTTTGTTTTATGAATTTTGTATTTTAAGTTACAAAGTATGACGACTTTAGAAATGCATGATTAAATTTGTCCTTTTTTGTTTGTTTGTAAATGGCATACCCTAAAACTAATTTCACGAAAATATAAAGACTATATAAAATTGCAGCATAAGAATAATTGAAATGAAATTTATAGTGTCTGTTTGGCCATTAGTGGCTGAACAAGTCTGCGGCATTTTTTTTAAATGCAAGAGGGATGTTTTTTTAAACTTCTTGTTTCAACCCTTTATTATTAATTTTTTTAAAATTATATCTTAGTTGATAAACTTTATAAAGTATAGTTGAATTGGCTCAAGACAGGCTTTCTATCAGGTTGAAGTCTAAATTACCCAAACTCCAATAAAAGAAAAAAGAGAAAAAAAAAATATATTTTGAGGTGGATTTCATTTTAGTTCAAATAGCTCCGAACTAATTTCAATTTTAGATGTAATATATCTTTCGTCTTGTTAATGTGTTATTTAAAGATTAGGTGGTATATACTAATTTCAGATAAACTAACCGAGTTTAAGAGTAGCCAACATGAACTTAGCTTTATAGTAATTGGTACCTCTTCTTTTCTTTGAGGTTGGAAAGTTCGAACTGCCGTACCTCTTATTTGTTGTACTAAAAATTTTGAGTTAAGAGTAGAGACTTATGAAGACACACGTTTAAAAGTTCAAGAATTTATTAAAAAAATATTTTAAAGTATACAGATTAAATAGACACAATCATGAACGTTTAGAGATGTATTAAACATTTTGCATGAGAACCAAAATTATAAGTTTTGGCCCAATAGAGAGTTTAGAAAAAGGAAATATTGTAGGTACATGTTAAGGTTTGAAGTAAAGATGTCTACGAAAATATCAATAACATGTCAGTTCATTTTGATGATATTTTGTTGGCTTATATATTTATTATGATATAATAGAAATGTCGATTAATCCGTTATGTCGATATTAGGATGAAATTGTGGAATTGAATAGGGCTGATACGTGCAGGGATATGGAATGACGGAGGCAGGGCCAGTGCTATCGATGTCTTTAACATTTGCGAAAGAACCTATGGCGGTGAAATCAGGTGCGTGTGGGACTGTGGTAAGAAATGCGGAGATGAAGATTATCCACCCTCAAACCGGTGCCTCTTTGCCACGTAATCAACCTGGCGAGATCTGCATACGTGGCTCCCAGATCATGAAAGGCAAGTCTAATCATTCTTCTTTATTTTTACACGTGCCCACGCTCTTTAGTGCCACACGCTATTTAATTACAACTGACATTACCAAAACTTAGTAAAAGTGTAACATTTTCAAATATGAGGCCAAGTAAAAACAAAATTTCAAAGAATTTCAAAAACTAAAATGTAGTTTTTAAAAGTATAAAATAAGATTGCGATGAAGTAATGAAATACGTCATTTATCTTCTTAGATATTATATATGAATAAAATGAACAATGTTTTAACGAGTCAAAACAAAATTTTAACGACAACAAACACGAAGTTTAGAATTTAATTGGAATTGAGAGGTGTGTTCAACAGGCTACCTTAACAACAAAGAAGCCACGGAGGAGACGATAGACAAAGATGGGTGGCTCCACACAGGCGACTTAGGGTTCATCGACGACGACGACGAGATCTTCATCGTCGATCGGCTGAAGGAACTGATCAAATACAAAGGGTACCAAGTAGCCCCAGCTGAGCTTGAAGCTCTCTTGACTTCAAACCCTAACATTGCTGCTGCTGCTGTTATACCGTAAGCTTCCATGAACATTCTTGTAGCAGATCGTACAAAACTTTTCTTGTTTTTACGGAAAAAAAAGAATTAATTGTTTTGATTCTGTCGAACAGTATGAAAGATGAAGCTGCGGGAGAGATCCCTGTTGCATTTGTTGTTAGATCTGGAGGTTCCAAGATTAGTGAGGATGAAATCAAAGAGTATGTTTCAGAGCAGGTTGGTATTTTTATCTTTATTTTTTTTTGCTGTGTCTATATAGTTTTAATTGCAAATTATCATATTATTATTTGTTGAAATTTTTTAGGCTTGGCTAAATTTAAGAATTGTGATTACTTTCTCACAAATTTTTTGTTAGGTTAATTACCGCTTTTCTTTCAAACACATTTTGAGTTTCTTCGCTAAATTTTGAAACAAAAACAAGTTTACTAAGACCTATTTGGATTATGAAAGCCCATTTTGTTTTTGGTTTATGTTTTTAATAATTAAGTCTATTGTTTCGTTATCTACCTTTTAAAAACTTTTCAAAATGTAAGCTATTTTGAAAAAAATAATAATAATAAATAATTTTTTTTTCTTTTTTGAAATTTAGCTAAGAATTCAAATGTATTTGTAAGAATCGTTAAAAAAACATTGTTTTCAAGAGATAGTTTTGAGTAGTTTGGGACCTTAAGGAATATTTAGATAATGGATGGTCGATTCTTGGGTAACCCAAAAAAAAAAAAAGAATGGTTAAAAACATATTAAAGAAGTTAATACAACGTATACAATTTTAAAATCATAAACCTATACATAAAATCATTATCTAACCATACCTAAACTATCTATTTTTATGTTAGTCAATGATCCACTTGAATTACGACTATCTTGGAAAATAGTAAATAATAATGCTAAAGAATTTTTAAAAAGTTTAATACAAAAGCCACCACTCCCATTTTTCTTCTGCGTTTAATTCGATCTTTTGTACTTTTTTTTGTCGAATATTATAATGTTTTAACTCGTTGAACTAGGTTTAGAAGGTCAAATTCTCTCGAATATATGCATTATAAAAATTTAAAAAGTATATATTTATAAATTAGGTGAACTTGTTACAATATTTGTTGGGTATTAGTTAAAACTTTGGTGGGACTATGTGGTTTGTGCAGGTGATATTTTACAAAAAGATCAGAAAGGTATTCTTGGTGGACTCAATTCCAATTGCTCCTTCAGGCAAGATTTTGAGGAAAGTTTTAAGGGATCAGTTGCAGGCTGGTGCCTTCTGAAATTAAATTATTGCCTCCACATAACTTTTTTAATCTCTCTCTAAAACAATGTTATGAGGAGAGAGAGAGATAAAGCATTGAAGAAACAGGGGATTTCTCTTAAATTTGTTGTTGTTAGTAAATATTTGAAACTCTGAACTTTAAAAACGAATATAAATTAATATTGTTATGAGTTATGTTCATGATTTGCGATGTATTGGATAGAGAGACGTTATTTCATATATGCATCGACAAAAATGAAAAAGGGTCAAATTATAATCTTAGTTCCTATTTAACATCAACAATAGTTTAAAAAATTTATTAGTCAAAACTAGTAAAAAAAAAAAAGTTCAACAAATTTCTACCCCACATTTTGGGTAAAATAAATAAATAAAAAACTAGTAAAATTAAAGAAACTAATGTGATACATTTGTTGTTTATGAATAAACAAAATGAGCTTCAAGATATAAGACTTTGCTTTATAATTTTTAAGGGCATATAAATATAATGTTTGTTTTTCAATATGGGTATAATGTGGGCAAGAGAATTTTTGGGGTTAGATCTTGAAGTATTAGTTTGATTCAGGACCAGAAAAAGGGGTAATAGAGTTAATTGTATGTTATTTGGAGTCGAACCATAACATAATTAACTCTGTGAATAACAAAGTTGCGGAGAATCTTGCAAATTAAAAGTTAGGTGTCACATACCAACATAAGCATAGCTTAGCAATAAATGATATGTACTCCTTTAAGTTCGATTCCCTATATTTCTAAGTTGTTGTACCAAAAAATAGTTACGTGCCACATGTCAGCATCTCATTGGGAAGAAATTTAAGAATACTAATAAACTATTATCGGTAGGTGACCAGGAACAACTACGTCAGTACATAGCCACATGTCACTTTTCTTATGGTCCACGAGGGTGATTCACCCACCACATTATCATTACGTTTATTTTTCCTTTCAACTTGTTTCGACCAATAACTTCTATGTTTAAATTTTGATCGTTGTGATTTAGTAGTCGTTGGAATCATTGCTAATTTCGAGTTCTACGTACGATGTGGATATTTCAAAACATTGAAATCATTATTGAACTAAAGATGTATTATCAAACAAATATATAGAATGATTTGAAGCTCAAAATGAATTTATGCTATACAACAATAGTTCTAACACACCAAAAATAATTAATACTAAATGTGTTGTTTTGAGCAATATGACAAGACGAGAAAGAGTGAAAAGCGTTGAAGATCAACTTATTAAACTTTTTCAATTTTAAATTCAAATAAAATAACTAATTGAACTTTTTATGCCAAAACAATTTATTTATAATTTATAGCAACCAGAATATCATAAAATAAATTTTCAAGATGAGTACAATAATTATTTCCAATAAAAGAAAATATACTTGAAAAACTAAATTACAATAAATAAAAAGTGTATATGGATATAGAGAAAAGATTACAGTACAAGAGATTCAGAGTAGTTCGGCCAACGATCCCGACATACTCTACTCCTCGAGCACCTCTCGAATTTATTCCAAGCACTATCTTTTTACACGTTGAAATCGCAAAACTCGGTCTTTTTATAGGGTCAAGATCAAACCTTACAAAACATATTCTTTTTACAAAATCTATAATTAGACCAAAAAAATTTTCGAGACAAAGATTAAAACTTACACTCTGTTTTTTTTTACTGGACTCAAAAATTAAATCTGTGAATATAAGGATTTTCCACACACTAAAACTTTCCTAAAGTGTAGATAAGATTGATGAATTTCACAACACCTAAAAACTCTAAAATAGCCCAATAAAATACTCAAAACACTAAAAAATTCAAGAAAAAATGGACTTAAAAAATATTCAGCTCACTGGTACGAAGTTCTAAAAAATTTTCATAATTTTTTAGAATTTTTTTCCAACTTAAATAGTTTCGCAGTTCAAAAACTAGCCATTAGCTGCCACGTGTCGTCGTCTAATGAGAGAAATCAAATAATAATGAAATATCTACATGTTGAGTAGTAAAAGAAGAGAGATAAATACATAAATGAAACGTGGCGCACACTCATTGGTCCTAAATAAGATAATTCAAAATTATTAATAAAATAATAATTTCAAATATACCCACTTATAAGCCACCACATGTCACACTGTGATTCATCAATCCTATCCACGTGCAAAATACGTTTTGCTGAGCGCACACGTCAGTTGCCATGTCATCACAGTAGGACTTTGGGTGCCACATCATCCACTGCGTCAGCTACCACATCATTCATAAATGAGTTCGTTGAAATTCCAAGTCAAAAAAATGCCACGTGCCAAATTATGATAGGTCTGTATGTCCATGTCATCATTCACGTAGGATTTGTTTTGTCAATCTTGTTTTGGTCATAATTTCTATTGGGTTTGTCAAAGTCTTACAATGACTAGGGAATACAGTTATCTCCATTGGCACGATGTATTTTAAGTGAAATAAAAAGCAAAGCTGTGACGGCTTATGCCTAAAACAGACGATTTTAAAGTACTTGAGGTACCGTTGTCCTTAACAATTTCTTCATTTGAACTCTGATTCATGTGATTCAAATTGTAAATTAATCCAAACTAATTTTATATAAAATTTAAGAAAGAAAATAGGATATATTCAAAAGTTAGTGCGAGTCTAGAAACCAAAGTAATTTGTAAACTTCATTTTATTTTGAACATATAAGACTATTTTAAAAATCAAATTCCAAAGAAAAATCCCTAAAAAGTATCCCTATTTAAGGGGCCTATGGTACCCAAGTTGGCATAGTGCCCTACAATGCTCTATGAAGGAAGTGAGAAGTCAAACATTACCATTAAATATGGTAGCTACCTTTCCGGGACAAATAAGTTGATTCTAGGTTTATTAATCAAATATCAAATATCAACAAACTTCAATTAAAAAAATTTTAATTTTTGAGTTTAAATCTTGTATCATTGCCAATATCGTTAGGTTTTAAATTCACTAATGAATTGATTAGTTTAATCAATATTTAAGGCTCCCTATAGGGAGGTTCGAAAAGCTTGCCATGTGGACCACCTACTTAAAAACATGTGTTCTGGACTTGAGTTTGGACAGGTTGAAGACAAAGCAGATACAACCGGCAAAAAATTTGCTAACACTCGACACGGAGTGCTAAATGGTAGAGTTGCGCTTCCCAAAGCACCTCTATAAAAGACAAAGTGGATCTCTCCTTGAAGGTACGCAATTATTATGCAACCCAACTCAAGGTCGACTCGACACTAAGTTTAGATTAAATTCTAACTTAAACTTTAAGACGTAGGTATATGGTCAAGTACCACACTAAGTACCACACTAATGCAAGATTTTGTATATAAGGTATATTCATCTCAACTGACCAAACGTCCCCTTCGAATATGAAACTGACAATAATATAACCTTCATCAAGAGCTTTTAATACAAAACATTTTCAGATTAAAAATGAAAGGAATGATTATTTTGATGAGAAGGTTTGAGATTACAAATTTTTAATTTAAAGTTTAGAAAGAAAAACTCATTATATTATTGATTTAATGACACAGGTAAGGAAAAAAACAAAAAATTAGGTAGACGTGTGAGAGAACCTAACTCATAATAAATATGCTTTTATGCATTAGCTCATAGGGCTTTTCTTAACTCCCAATAAAGGAAAACTTTATCTTTCTACAACTCTATAATAAAAGATCTCAAAGATCTTATTCCCGAAACATAACTCAATACTTGGAGTATTTATATGTTTTGAATCTTTTATTTTTTTTGTTTTGTTTAATTTTTTTCCTGATTCATGGTTTTATCTCAAAATCAATTTGTCTCTCGTTGATTCATCAATTTTGATCGAATTTTATTTTTGGATCCTAGGTTCGTTTGAACTTTTTTGGGCTTTGATACGATATTAATATTTACGAGGAAAATACTTGACTCCTTAAAGTAAGAAACAACTTTGTCCTTCCCACTATTAAATATTTGATAACAAAGAGAGAGAAATGTAAATACATGGTTATTTTTTAGAAAATGATGAGTTGTTAAATATTTAATGGCAGTAAGGACAAAGTTGCTCCTTACTAGTGAGGAGTCAAGTATTTTTCTGTTTACCATGTTTCGTCCCAAAATCAATTAGTAATAAGATAGATAGCCAAATTTATTATAAACATTTGTAAGGTCTATTTCTTTTTCAACGTGAGATCTTTAACAGAAACTATTTTTTCTTTTCAAACTTTAGAATATTCCATGCGTCTGCACCAATATGACTCTAGCTAGTACAATTGTTACTTTAACACCTTTCATAATGATAAGATATCATCTACTTTAAACTCAACTCGAAAGATCTCATAAAGACGGTTGCCCGCGGATAATTCAATCAACTAAATACACTAAAATACGGATTCATAGGATTTGGTAAAGCTATGAGTTTTCCTAAGAGTGTGGAATATCAAAATATACAAGCTATGGGGATGGAATCACTTGGATTTTGGTCGCAGGAAGTGGCTTGGAGAGTAATGGGTGAACAAATTGAAAGCAGAAATGAAGGAAATGGCAGCCATTGTAAGAGAAGCTGCATAGCCACAAAGGAAAGCTCCACCAGCTTGGAAGCAAAATCTGGTGAATCTGTTGCACAGCTTCATCCATTGAAGGTTGTAGGCTCCGGTGATCGCCAGAAGAGCCGCCTCCACCCCCGCCGTGTTCGCCGCAAATATCACATATGCAATTGCCTGTGTCAAAATCCAGTTCAACCCAACCTTTAAACCTCTCCCAACTTGTAAGGTGGAACACCATTAAAACCTTTCTGCACTTGTTTGGTAGCGTTTATGGATCCGTTGATGACTATTACAAGCAAGGGGATAGATTGAGGATGTGAAAGATTACTTATATCTTAACTTGTGATAGTTATACTCATCCGCGTCTGGTTGATTATCACCCTAACTTATACTGGTTTTTTATTCTTCCAAAGGATGACGTGGAGATTCGAATTCATAATTTTTTATTAGAGACAAATGTCAATTACCATTAAATTAAGTTGATGTTGGCTTTGGTTTTTTAAAAATAAAAAGGTCATCCAATGAACTCTACATTACTTTTATTTTTTGTTTTTCATTTTTCTCTTGGAAAAGAAGTCATCAATAACTTAAAATAAATATCTATTTTTAAATATAACATAAAATTTAAAATAAAAGAAAACTCAAATTAAAATTAAACTCAAATATAACGTAAAATAAAAAAAAAGAAAAATAAGTCACGCTTATTCTATAAGGGCCTGTTTGGTAACGTTTCGATTTCTTGTTTCTCGTGTCCAATTTTCTTATGAAATCTAGGTATTTTAAAACTAACTTTGTTTCTTGTTTCTCCTCTTTTGGAACAATCTCACAATTCTATAGAAATTTTGGGAATAATCAAAACAAGTTTTTGTTCGGGTTCCCATTTCCAATTTGTTGCAAAATATAAATAAAAACATTGTTTTATCCTATTTGAATTTTTGGAGGTTAAAACAATGCAACACGTTTTTTTTCATTAAAAATGAAAAAACAGAAACAAAAAACAGTAAAGTTACCAAACGAGCCCTAAATAAAATGATGAAAATTATGATGTTTGTTTAAAATATATATTAAATTTATGATATGAAGCAATGATTTGAAAAAATCAATCCTAATTGAATTTGGAAAAATTTATAACTATATGAAGAAGTATTGGATTAGGTTAAAAGAAAAAAGAATCTCTAAACCCAACCTAGAACTTTCCGAAATGTGTGGCAATTATGGCCACAAGTTTGTTTGGTGAGGGAAACTAGAGATATTAAAACATTTTGCTTCAATTTTTAATTTCTGACTTCTTCTAAAGTTTGATAATAAAATAAACTGGCAATAATCATCTCAATCAATACGACTGATCATCAGCTAACCAATATCATCAAAAGTTAAAACCGAAAACAAATTATTATTATTATCATTAAGTTAATCAATGATTAAGAACTTAAAAAACCAACTATATTTTAAACTTTTTTTATTAAAAATACAAATTAACCAATATTTTAGAAATGGAAGGTAATGAATTTTTTCTCATAAATTTTTCCAAATCAATAAACTCATGAACCAAATAAAAGTTAGGAAAACTCATTCACGTAATTCAAACACAAATCATACAAACTCGATTGAGCTTCTCAATAATTCATCTCCTATAAGCAAAAAAAAAGAAAAAAAAAATCCATCTAAATTAATTGAAGAGACATACCTGATCAAGGAAGAAAGAAATCCAAAATATGTAAATATCATAGTGAGCCCCTAATTTTGAGGCTCCTAATTTTGGCTGAGCTGAGATCCAACACTTGCAGAGTTGAAGAAGATTGTACCCAGCTGCCACTGAGTTCACATACATAATCACTCTGTCGCCAAAAACAACCACAAATCATTAACAATATGTTTCGTAAAAGAAAAATAAAAATAAAAATACAATATGACTGTTTATTCGGTTTTTTCTTTCAAAATACTTCAACTAGCTAGTTGAGTTAGGCTTAACTTTTTCTAGTCCAATCATTCTGGAGTAGAGAATCGAACCTTCAATCTTAATTTCTAACTAATATTAACTCGTTCAATTCATATATATAAAATTTGGAAATATTAATGCTTTATCTGCGAGAACCAAACCATAGAAGCGTTGCTAATTTGAGTATAACTCACTGGTAAAAGATAAAATTTAAAGAGGGAAAGCTTACATGAGAGAACGCAAACTTCTGAAAGTGGCCTTTTTGTCGACATGAAAGATCTGAGTAGTTTGTTTATCAAAACCCAGCAAACAAACTGTTAGAATAAGGCCAATAATCGCACAGAATCTGAGAATCCCTTCAGTTCTTGGATCCCCAAAAAACCCCATTTCTGCAGTTTCTTTCAAACCCACCTCTGGCCAGAATAAATCCCAAGTAATGCCAGAGGTCGGCCGGCTGTGTTTTCGGCAGTTGTTGCCTTTATTTATGATGGGCTGCTAACCAGAGCATTAAATTTTCACGGAGGATAGACATTTTCATGTATACGTAAGTTCGAGGTATAGACACTAAAAATAAATCGACATTTCTTAAGTATGGTAAAAGATGGATAAAATATTATTAATAAAACATAATATTAATGTCGATCCTTCTTTTAACTCGTTTAGAAATGAAGAAAAGACTTATTTGTTAATTAAAATAATTTTATGATTTTTTTTATAACATTTCAAGAAATATCTATCGACATCGACATTTAAAACGTTGTTGATTGTCCAAAACTCACCACTTTCAAAAATAATTATTCAATAAGATCTCATGCTATTTTTAAATAACAATATTAATGTGACTCGTAATAGATAGAAGTAGTATCTATACTCGAGACATAGTCAAAGGTTAAGTTGACTTTATAAATTTGTTTGGATGAGATTGGTTTTAAATAATTTTAAAATCAACTATTTTACTTACCATATAATTTATATGGAGATATTTATTTTAATTTTATTTCAGCCAATAATTATGTATCATTTATTTTTTAATACTTTTTAAATTGATTTTTTAAGTTTTTGAAGGATTCTGATAAATAAACTTTAACTTACGATTTGTATAGATAAATAAAAAGATATTAGAATTTAATTTTTTTATTATACAATATTTTAAATGAGTGATAAGAATAATCTGAATCAACCCAATCTAAATATTAAATGATTTAGGTGGATGTAGTTGGATTAATTATTTAATAATAATTATTTGGAGTCTAATAAATTTACTGACTCGAACAGTTGGATTCAATCTAAAAAAATATTTCAACTCAATTTAATCCAACTAAAAATTTTTTTTCCGATGGAGCCCTCTACGCAACTTGTTTGTATTTATTATACAACATTATTATGTGACTCTCTTCGAGCTGTCAATTTTTCCACCATGCCAAGTGCCTTATGTACTAATCTTAAATTTTTAAGTTTGATGTATATCTATCATCTGGATTTTCGGATTTTTAATGCTTGATCTCCTTTGGAAATTAAGTTTGATTATTATACCATTAATTTCTGGTTCTGTTTAGTCTCTAAAATTTTTTTATTATAATATTGAAATTTAAAGTATGTCGCCATCGTCATTGTCTTTGTCGTTGTACACTGATTAGACATATCATGTATGTTGACGACGATATTTGAATAGAAGCAAAATATTAATCTGAAAAATTCAACTGTTAAAATATATATATATCTTGACAAAAAGTTAAATATTTAATCCTAAAAAAAAACACCAAAATTAGAATTTTTAAAATTTAATGACTAAATTAAGGATTGAGTTTAATCATTTTTTTAAATATAATTCTCTACGTGATTGAGTAACTTGCAAGGTTTGTACCAATTCATTAAAAAAATTGTTTTAGTCAAAAAGGAAAAAAATGTTACTTCTCCCACAAATTTGAACGTTTATAATTTTCTCTGGACTTATTTTAACTTTTCAAATATTCAATTTTAGTCCCGATTTATTTTAGTTTTTAAACTTTGCATAGAAAATTATTTGAAAGGTTAAATCACTATACATGTGCATGATGTGACATAKACAATATATCATTCTTGATTTCGTTCAAGCTAGAATCGCTGTACATCCTCCATAGATACTTTATCATATGAATGAATAAAAGACATAAATGATCACACAAAGTTTTTCTTAAATGATTTTGAAAAWTTTTAAAATAAGAGCTCAAATAAACTTTTTTATGCAAAATTATTGAAGGACCAGAAGGAACTTGTATCTGTTTAAATTTAAAATCATATATATGATAGTTGGCAAATCACTGGGTGCTGTATTTTTCAATATCATTGAAAGAAAAAAAAAATTAAAAACTAAAAGTAGGACCTTATTTTGAAAATAAAATGTGAAATAAATGTCCATATGTCACAGTTAGGCGAGTTGTGTATGGCAATAAATACGATGTGCTATGGCCTATGTATATTGATATTTAATAGTTTGAGCGATATAGCCCACACAAATTAAAGTTATCAACCAAGTCAATAATGTTGGACTCAAATAAAATAATTTAATAGAGGTCAATAATTTTCTAGGGAAGTAGCTATCTACTATCCGTTTGGTAACGTTTCCGTTTCTTCTTGAGTTATTTATTCACCGGTTGCTTTTAAAAATAATTTTTTGAATTGTAGTTTTTCACCATAAAAATAAACATTGGCTTACAAATCTCGATTCAACGTTAGAAAATATGTATAAGATATTAGCATTTATTTATTTATTTGTTTATTTTTGTTATACAATATTTTGAATAAATAGCTCGAATAACTCGAACCAACCTAACCAAATATTTTATGGTTTGGTTATGAGTTCATTATTTGATAAAAATTGTTTGAGTTGGTAAAATCTACCATTCGCACCATTGAATTTGGTCTAAAAAACGTACTGCAATCCAACCCAATCCAACTCATGAATACCCATATCCATAAACGAGAGACTATTCAATTTTGACATAGAAACTAAGAATACAATTTATAGGCTACCTAAAATAGACATGCATACAACCTATGGCTATTCGATCTTGGGACCATATATATGGAAGAGGTTAAATGAGAGTGGTATTCCATTTTATTGCCCCTTCATAATAGAGCTTTAATATATGCTAATGCAATGCATCATTATAAGTGGATGTTTGTCACTCAATGATAATTGGTATCTGTCTCTGATTAGGAGGTCGTGAATTCAAATCTCCCTATCACAGTTGTAATAAAAAAAGAAGTCTATATTATTTGTCACTCTCAAATGGTAACCAAGGATAATTAAAGTTGAGCTTGATCTTATTTGTTGTTCTTACTAAAAAGTCTACTAAACATAGTCATTAAATAATCTTTGTCCATTAGCCAACTTGAGGTTAATGTATATCATCCATCAAAAGGTCATGTGTTTGAACTTCATTGTAAGAATTTTTATTTTTTTCAACGGTAAATATTCATCGGTAAAAGTACATTTGAAGAGTACATTTCCGACGTTTTTCTAAAAGTGTTGGTAGAGCTATACATCTGCCGATGTTTAAAAAATATTTTCCCAACGTTTTTCCCAAGGTATTTCTAAAAATGTTGCCCAGCTTTCTTATAATTTTCTTGACGATTTTGTTTTGGTAGGGAAAAATTACTTTTCCCGACAACTTTTTCAACGTCAAGAAAATTTTTCGTTGGAAATAAATTCTCGTAGTGCCTCCACCCCTACATGTTATACTGAATATATATATATATATATATATATACACACACGCTTTAATATTGAGACGTTTCTTGTTTATCGTTTCTAATTTTTGAGAAACATAGTCATTTGGTAACAATTCCTATTTCTCATTTCTCATTTTTAAGAAACGTTTTTAAAATTGTGTAGAAATTTTAGAAACAACAAAATCAACTTTCTTGTTTCTTATTTTTTTTCCCTATTTTGAGTTTTTTTTTTCTAAAACATAAAATGCAAAATAAATATTACAAAATAAATATAATATAAAAAATTTGAATATATATTTTTTAAAATTAAATTTCATATAAAAATTATGTTTTTTTTTTAATTTAAAATTTTAGAGAATAAGAAACAAGAAATGGTTACTTGTTTCTATTTATTTTTCAAAAATAATAAATAAATAAAAATAAAGGAAGGAAGGAAGAAACAACAAATAATTATAAACACATTTCTGTTTCCATTTATTGGAAAAGGAGAAAACAATTAACAATTAACAAAAACCAAAAAAAAAAAAAAAGAAAAGAAATTATAAACATTGCGAAACGGGCCACAAGTGAAAAGTTTCTCACAACTCAATTAATTGACTGCTGTAAATTATTAAATTTAAAGAGCTAAGAGGAGGAGAATAATTATAGCCTATGGAGGAGAATGCATCCAAAGCAAAATTAGAAACTTTTTTCTCTGTCTCTTATATTTCCTTATTTGTACCCATTACATAAGATATAGGACCTATTGGAGTGTTGTTTAAGCAAATTAGACAATATTAGTAAAAATAATAAGTGTTACATAAATAATTAAATATTAGTATGAATAAAGATGTTAAAGGTCTCAATTGGCATATGCATAGCAAATCTGTCAGAATGATAAAATGCTTTACAAAACATGGCACAAATATGTGAGGGATAAATCAATGGTACACATATAAGTGCATATTTTGTATACCAATGACATAAAAATAGATATTAGTAATATTTTTTATCACATGGATAGATATGTTGGCATCGTATGCATTATATTAAGCATATCAGTAATAAAAAATGATATATCATTAATATACGAGAAAAAAATTAGCATATATTTACAAATTATTTTTTTATATAAATAAATTACTAGTTTTATCACCAATGATAATTTTCTTAGAAGATAATTTAATTGTGAAAAATATTGATATTTTTTAAGCGGAAAAAAACAGGGAGATCATTAAACTCATAAACCTTATTTAAATAAATAAATGACAAAAATAATAAGGTTTCCACACCCTTTTTTTTCCCTTTCAATACAACATGTTTAAGGTGGGAATTGAACTCACAACTTATTTGTTGGAAATATATGTCAATTAGCTGAGTTATGTTTACTTTGACAGTTACCGGTACTTTTATCTATATTAATGATATATTTTTAAATTTGTTGCATCTTTATATTTTCTCATACGATTAAATAATCACTAAACTAAAAATTTTAATTTAATAAATTTAAGGTAGGGTATGTTTCCATATTTTTTAACATTATTTCTCAGATGTGTATGCGATTTTTTTTTAAGATGTACAATTTCATTAAAGGTATGTGATGAGAAACATAAGAAGGCTTAGAGGAAGGTGTGAGAAGCAATTAAGAGAAATAGTGGACATATCATAATTACAAAAGAACTTTGATTTAGAGGATTAGTACGATTCATAGACTCTTATATCCTCCCAAAGACTAGTACGAGAGCTATTGTTGTCTTTGAAGGTGCGACTTATTGGAGGGATAGAGAGATACTCTAAAATAATATGCGAAAATTATCTCGAGATCGAACATGTGACCATCCATATTAAATTCGTATCCATCATATCAATATCAAACCTTTCAATCTATGAAAACGCATCAATGAAGATTCTACTCCATGAACTGATACAAAAAGAAAATTAAACCACCATTATAGAGGTATATATTAAGAACAAACTTTGTTTCATGCCCCAAATTCAAAAAGAAGAGAAAATCAAAACAACTTGAAACCGGCCAAATGAAGTAAAGTAAAACAAAAAAACAAAGTTATAGAGAGACATTCTTAATTTTGTTTGTGTTTTTAAGGTTGTTATTACAGGCTCCCCTAGGAGCTGTTGAGGTTGCACTCAAGAGGCAATCCTTGTGGGAACCTGTTTGTGTCTTGGCAGTAGTTGTAGATCATAAAATTTTTTTGTGCCCATTTCATTTGTCCTTGCTTTGCATATTCCTGACCAAAATCTCCCCACAGCCATGACTGTGAATTGGGAGTACAAGAGGAGTTTCCATTGAGCCAAAAGCAGCCATCTTCAGTGAAGTTTCTGTAGTAAGCCTTGAATGGGGCTTGGCTCCAATCTGTCTTCTCAAGACCTCCTCTCGTGGCCCAGTTATCAGCATCCCATAGGCTTGAATACAGCCTCATTGCTTGATATTGTGGGAACGCCACTCCTTTGCTTTCCAAGTTCTTGAACTTTCTTATGGGAATCCCATCCACGTAGAAGCTGCATAAGTGTACAAATTAATTAATGTAATGAGGATCTCTTTGTCCAAAATAGTCTTTCATTTATGTAGTTATTTTTGTCCTTAGCATAATCCCTTTCCACTCGAATAAGTATATCGAACAATATTTAGGTTCGAACACAGGACCTCCCGCTCTGATATCAAGGATAAATAAATCACCACCCAACCCAAAGATTAAACTATAACTTGGATAAATTTAATTTATTTATGGATATCTAACAGTACTGTGTGAAAACCAACAAAAATTTGATAGTTCAAAAAGAAAAAATCATTTCTCTCTCCTATGCTAGTTGTCAAAAATTTAATGCCAATTAGTAAAAGGTTAGTGTTGGTCGGTAAACACTTAAATATTGTTTAAATAGATCAAGATACGAAGGAAATCCAAAATGGTGTAAAAAAATAGAAATATAATATTGTGAGAAAAAAATATTAAGTAGATTTCTTGATTGTTTTGAACCATACTGACTAAGATTTGGGATTGGGTGACTCTCTCGGTTTTTTATGAGGAGTAGGTCCATAATCCTAATTAAATAGTGTTGATCCTAAAGTTTTTTGCAATTTTACAGTAGAGGCATTTACATAAATAACACAAAATGTTCAAATATAACAAAAGGCTTGAAATTTTACAAAAATAACATAAACTAAACTCATACTCAAATTTAAATTTAAATGTAATATAACTCAAATTTAAAGAAAAAAAATGTCACACTTATATTATACTTTAAAAAATTTAAATGATGACATTTATTAAAATAAATATTAAATTTATGCTCTAATAATTAAATTTCTCTTTATAGTATTAGCAGCGAGCTAGGTATCTACTATAAATGTGCCCTTTTTTTTTAATAGAATTTAGTTTGCTTTTGGATTAACGGTTAATCGATGTTAATTTAACCTGGTGTCAAAGTAGGAGGTGATTTAATATCATGATTTCATATGTCCGTTAAATGGTTCAAATATAAATACTTTTGAGTTGTTATCTACTTTTTTTAGTACAACAATATGTGGAGATGGTAATTCGAACCCATAATTTTTTTTGTTAGAGATATGTCTTAATGAATTGAACTATATTGAGATTGATTTAAGTTATGTTATTCAATTATAAATTAATTTAAATGTGGTTGTGAAAGTTATAAAAGAATGAAAATAGAACTTACACAATGTGTTGGTGATTCCAAAAAATGGTGTAGGTGTGGAAATCGGCAGTTGGGTCAAACCAGAGGTAGAATTGCATCTCTCTGTTGCCAACTCCTTGGCAAAACACATTTGTGTGAAGGATGTAAGGATTTCCAGTTGTGTTTCCCAAGAATTCAAAGTCTATCTCATCATGCCTATCACCTTTTGAAGATAACTGAAATCACACCATGGTTTTTTAAAGTATGTCCCATCATTGGATTTTCCATATTTAATTAAAATTCAGTGGTAATTTAATACGGGAATAGAACCACCAAAATGAGTATAGTTCAGCGGTAATTGACATATATTTTTGATCAAGAAGTTCTGAGTTTGATACCTCACCCTACATGTTATACTAAAAAGCGGTTGCAGAACTATTATTATAAATTGAAATAATGGTAGTTACTAGGGTTAACATTATCTTTTTTTCTATTTCTTTTCCATCACAAAATTTTAAGAACTTGATATAGGATTAATTTTAGTCATAGATATTTTTGTTGATATTTCTATAAATCAAAAGATTAAAAAAGAGCGTTCAACATGGTCATGTAATAAATTGTCGATAGAACGGTGTGAACCTAACTCTAATAATTAACAAAAATCAAAACCTTTAATGTTCATTTATTAATTCTAATACTTCTATGAATTTAATGATCTTGATGATCATTTCAAATTCTAATACCTCAACATATATCGATCGAGATCTCTATTTTATGAGATTTTCTTTTACATCCACATTTATTTCTACAAATAAGGCTTGAGGTGGAAACTTACAAAGAATGCAGTGACGGTACCCGCAGAGTTTCCAGAGACAAGTTTGATTTGCATGTCGAGCTTTACAAATAAGTATTCGTTCTTGGATTGAAACCCCGAGCCAGAGCTTTTGTCGAGGCTGAGCAGTAGAAGCTCACCATTGTCCAGCATCTGACCTCGCCCATCTCCCCAACTGATGTCAACCGACTTCGACAAGTCTTCAGCAAACGAAACATGCAAAAAACAGAACACCACAAGGACAAACATAAACCCTGCCCGAAAATTCGACAACAACGAACATGAAGATTGATAGTTCATGGTTGGTGGGCAACTTAGGATGATGGAAGGAAGAATTGAGAGAGGAATTTATATGGGAAAATTTGAAGATATCTAAAAGAGAGAGGGAGGAGAGTTTGAAGGATTCATGGTTGGAGGGGATATAAAATGAGCTGTAATCTTGTGGGGATATGGAAAAAACTCGTTTTCTTTTTGTTTTGAGTTCTAATTAGAGAATGAATGGAGATTTTTCCATGTTAAAATAAGCCATTTTGACTTTTAGAAAGCAATCTTAAAAGCTCCATTATAGATCATATGTTGCTGTATTCCATTTTGGTCGACGTGACGACCACACAATTTGGAAGATATATGATGCTTTGGCCGCCCGCGGCTGCACCGGTTGGACGGCACCCACATCAAAACTGAAACCATATACACAAGAATCAAAGCCTACCTCTCCTCTCTTGAATTACAAATTTAAGACTCTTTTATGGTTGGTTTTGATAACGTTTGTGTTTCGTGTTACTTATCGTTTCTAATTTTATGAAGAAATATAAGTGTTTTATGAAGAAATACAAGTGTTTCACAATTATTTAGTTTGATGTTTCTTGTTTCTCATCTTTTAGAAACATTATCAAAATTGTATAGAAATTTTAGAAACAAACAATTTTTTTTTCTTATTCCTATTTCCAATTTGTTACGAAACATAAATAAAACTATTGTTTTATTCTTCTGGAGTCCATGAATGTTGGGAGTCATAAAATTCTATTTTTCTTTAAAAAAAATTGAAATGGAAACAAGAATTTAGAATATTACTAAATGGACCCTTGGTCTTGGCAACTATTGATGTTTCTCCTTTTTCATTTTTCAGAAATGTTTCTAAGATTGTGTAGAAATTTTGAAAACAATTAAATCAAATCTCTTCTTCCTTATTTTCGTTTCAAATTTTCAGTTTTTTTTCCCCAAAATATAAACAAAAAATTATTTTATCATATTGATCTTAACTTATAAAATGGATAATAAATGTTAAAAATAAATATAAGATAAACAATTTTGAATATTTAATTAAAAAGTTTTACTTATTTAAATTAAATTTTTTTTATGTTTAGTTTAAAATTTTGGAGAACGAGAACAAGAAACACTATCAAAATGTATTTATGTTTCTATTTAATAAAAAGAAGAAACAAAAACCAAGAAAATGAAGCAAAAACAAAAACAAAAAATAAAACCAGAGAATTATCAAACGAAACTTTAGTCTATAATTTTTTTATTAGTTAAATTACAAAAACAGCTTTTAGAATTAAATCGATCGATACTGTTAAAAAGTTTTTAACATGCCCCTCAATATTCAAGGTTGTGTCAAAATGGTATTACACTTGAAAGGATTTTCAATGAATCTTTCAACATTCAATTTTGAATCGTATATAGATCATACTTGTTCTAGCTTATTACTTCGGTGTGAAATGCTATTTGTATTATATATACATAACACACATGCATGACAAGATGAATTTCAGATAGGTTTCCTTTTTTATTTTTTTGAATAAAAATTTCAGATAGGCTTAGGGGTCGGATGTAGTGACATAAATGTTAAACTAATGGTGGGTAATCGTTGTGATATATTATAAATAAAATTAAAAGTTCAAGGACATATTAGAAATTTTTAGACTAAACAAGATAGTCATTATTTTTTTAGTCAATTCTCAATTTAGTCTCCAATCCTTTAAAATTTTCCAATTAATTACCTTGATATATTTAAACCTATCAATGAGGTCATTGCACAAAATATATGTTAACAAAAGTTGATAAATCACTAAATTAATATTTTTAACATATTAGGCACATCAACATGTGAATTTTGATGTTACTTTTGACACATAAAATTCAATCCATCCATCAACGAAATATGAACAACTAACTAACAAAATTCATGGCAAATGAGCATAGCTCAGCGGTAATTGGCATATCTCATTCCTACATGTTGTACTAAAAAAACAAAACAAAATTCATTTTTCAAAGGAGGCATGTCTATATGTGATATGTTCTCAATGTCCAATATGTTAATAAAACAGTTAATTTAATGACACTTTAACCTTAGGTTAACAAATTTCATAAATATAAAAAAATTGGATAAGGATCTAATTGAGAACTTTCAATACATTGGGTTAAATTTGAAAATCTTAAAAGATTAGGATTAATTCCAATAATTAAGAAAACCCTTAAAGGATAGGGGACATTGAATATATTTAACAGACTAAATAATTCTGAAAATCTCAGAAATCTATTAAAAAATTTAAAGCACAAGGACTAGATAAGCAAAATCCTAAAAGTTTAGGGACCCAGTATATAATTTAACTGTTTTAATTTACATTTTTTTTTTTGATAACCGTTTTAATTTACAATTGTCTCTATTGTGTTCATGAATTTTGAATTTAATTATAATTTTATGTAGTTTTTTATCCTTGACACTTGGTACTAAAATGATGACATGAAGTGCCTCTTAAATGAATATTGGCTAGTTTAATTAGCATAATATATGGGAGATAGATGGTAGAAAGTATATTAAAACTATCTTTTGTGACTATGTCACTCTACTTTATCCAGCTGTTCACTTTCTTCTGTCATTTGTTTGCCACATCGTGCATAATTAACAAACATTTGTTTAATGTGCACATCATTGTCACAATGACAAAAATTACATAGAATTATAATTTAAAGTTTAGAAATGTGTAATTAAAACTTTTTCAAATTCAGATATTTAAAATTGATGGAGTACAATGTATCAATTAAATTATTATATATATTACTATGGGATCAAAATGGTATTTGAAAATTTTCTTGTATATTAAAAAGAAATGCGACATTTTTTGTGCTTAGATACATCTTTCTTGGATGGTTTTTTCGGAGTTCAATGAAAACTATATATATATATATATATATATATATATATAATTAACAAACTTGACTAAATTGGCCTGCTCGAGTTTGTGCTGTGGTAGATTCCTTTAATTTTAGGAGTTTGGGTTTGACCTAATATGGTGTGTTAGGCATCTCTTTACGTGTCCATCAAATATCTTCAAAATTTTGGTGTCAAAAGAAAATTTCAACGTATTTTATGGAAGTGTGTTGATATGTTCTACAAAAAATTGTGGAAAAAATCAAGAAAATTAATTGATAGAAATTATTCAAATGAGTAACTAAGACTTTAATTACTGCTTAGACTATAGCTGATCTTTTTAATGAGTAATATATATTTGGTTAAATAACTCTTTTGGTTTCTATACTTTAGTTGAAATAAGATTTAGTCCTTGAATTTTTTAAAAGGTAACGATTTAGTCTCTGTACTTTCGAATGGATAATAATTTAGTTCTTGAAATTTAGAATGTAACAATTTAGTCCTTGAAGTTTAAAGTTTTTAACAATTTTAGTCTCTATTGTGAATTTTTTTTGTTAAATTTCTAATATATGTAGATCGATATACCGATGAAGGATCAAATTTATTTATAAATCAATTACAAATCTTAAATCGCTATATGATAAAAATTGACGCTTAATTTTGATGACAATTTTCTTGGTAGGGACTAAATTGTTACAAATTTTAAACTATATGGACTAAATTGTTCCCAATATGAAAATACAAGACTAAATCGTTACAATTAAAAATTCATTAACTAAATCGTTAATTTAATGAAAGTATAGGGACCAAATGTGTTCTTTTAACTTATATATTTATATGAAAAATGTTGATGTTGACGAATTTCAAAAAAATTATCATGGAAATTGAATGGAAATTTTTTGAATTAATTTATGACACTAATAATTGTGATATAGCTCATCAATTTTTACTATTCGTATTTATAAACCTAAAGTAATCTGTATCCTCCATAATTATAGAGAGATCAAATCTAGATATATGACCATGGGTTTTTTTTTTTTAAAGTACAAAAATTTTATAATATTAAAATGTGACCGTTCAAAATATGGTAAAAATATTTAGTAAAATTAGCAAAATAGCAACCAGTAAAATATAGCACTTTTAAAAAAAGAAAAACAGATGTCCAATTTTAAAACGATAACTTCACCTAAATGATATAGGTATGTGATAATATGTCTTTTTAAAGAGTAAAATATTAAAAAGAGTATATTAGACACTCATATCAATAGTATATAACATACATAAAATTTTTTTGACCATTCCTCATTGTTGAAAATTTTTCAATATTTCTCGACATTTCTTTTACCATTTTTCGATATCTCAATATTTTTTTGACATCTTGAATAAATGAAATTTTACCTTTGATTGAGATATTGGGGAATTTGAAGCGGCATATTTGTCGACATTCACACTACTGGTGTGTACATGCTGTGAATATTTAATTTTATTCATATTTATTTATCAAAATTATTATGAGAGAGCATGAAATTTTGGGGCAAGAAGAAAATAATATTGTCACTTAAAGCAAACAAATATTTATGTATGCATATAAGTTAAATTAAGGCATCAAAATTTATTATCTCAAAAAAAAAAAAAGACAAGAAAAAAAGTCCTCAAAATTTATGTACTAAAAAAGAATCCTTAAAATTTAGATTTGATTTTTATTTAGTCTTAAAATTTACATTCGTTTAAAATTTACGAAATAGCTTTAGACGACACCTAAAAAAAATACTGACCTAAGAGAGATATGTGACAGTTAAATTTTGGTGATTAGAATTTTGTTAGTTGAAAGACATGTGAGCCAATGATATATTATTATATTTTACGGGTGTCTTATTATTCCTAAATGGTGTTGATAATGGTATAGATGCGTAGACATATTATCAATATTCATGGATTCCATATTATAACTAATTAGCAATGAGAGAAGTAACCTATTGACAAGAGTCCTTAACATACTCCCTTAAGATTGTGCCTCTTTTAGATTCACCTTTTGCACTGGACAATTGTCTGAGCTTTTGGGCTGTAATACCATATTAATATTCATGGGATCCACCTCAAAACCAATTGACAATTAAATAAGTGACCCATATAGCACAGGACTTAAATTGAGGAAATTTTCAGTATTATGAGAGTATGCATACTTCTATTTTCCATTTTGACACAACATTATGTAATATGTTACTTTGTTTTCTGGACCTCATGTTGGGGTTACAATATGTGCAAACAAAATCTCACGTTGGTTAGAGAGAAGAGTGATGTATGGTATATAAATAAGGACAATCATCTTTATTGGTACGAGGCATTTTGGATAAAATCAAAAACAAAGTTCTGAAAGTTATATCCAAATTAGCGGACAATATCATACTAACCCCTCACACCATCCTTAAATGGTATAAAACAAGAAGTTTTTGTAGCTCTCACGCTCTTTCTTCTCTTGTCTTCTTCTTTTAATTTTATATCTTCGCAAAAACAAGATCCATAGACAAGGGTCCTACCATGAACACCGAAAGAACTGTAGTTAGCTAGCATGAATGCTGTATCATAATCTTCTCTTTATTAATATGTGTTGGTGGACAGGGAAACATCTTTATTTTTTTCTGTTGTCCTTGTCCTACATTATGCTTGTTTGGTAGCTAAATTTACTTCTCTTCTTACATCCTTGTTTTAGATGATTCTTAGTTATTCTTTGCATGTTAAAGTTATGAATTGTTTCTCCAAGTTTAAACCAATTTTAAGGTTTTCCTCTCTTTTTGTCACTAAAGATCATAATTCCTGTAGTGTGATCTTTGCTCGGCTTATAGCTCTTGGCCCTATGTAGTAGTTTGGGTCATTTAAGTTGTTTGAATCTTCAAGTCCTCGAAATGTGATTAAGCTTCACTCACTTGGCTCATGTTAATTTGAAGCTCTCTTTCTTTAATTTAAAGGCCTCTTGGAATTTCTTTGCTTGGTTCCAGGGAGAGATTCTTGTGGCAAGTTCTTGAAATAATTGGTCTCATCTCTTATCCGCAGCAAAATGTTAGATTTCGTTTCAAGTGGGACTTTCAGCAACGAACTTCACTTTCGTCGCCGAAAGGCACCTTTGGCAATGAATTTTCTTTGCATCACCATAGGTTCGTCGTCAAAACTTTAAATTATTCTTGCAGTGAGTATTATTGGAGGAAGGATAATACCTACGCCTCTAAATCGATAGAAAGACCATTCTAAGTATTCGTGATTTAATTACAACAATTTCGTGCAACTTTATCAAAATTAACAATTGCACTGTTGGGAAAATAATTGGAGCCAACAACAGGAAATGTAATTGGGCCCAGAAACTTGAACAAAAAAGGCCCAAACCTGAAACCTAAGCTTGCCATATATATACATATTGTGAAGTCTCCTTGTTTTTTTTTTTCCTGGCCGTGAGTGATAGAAACCAAAAAGAAACAAAATAGTGGCAGCTTGTGTTGGTGCACAAAAGAGTGGCAGCAGTGGTGTTATTTGGCAGAGAAGAAAAAGAAGAACGTTGGCTTGTAGTACGTTGTCGGCAGTCCGTTCTCGTGAAGTTAGTAAGGTTTTTCATTCTGTATTCTTAGGTAGCTATTGTCGTAGTGCTTAGAAACTAGGTGACCATTGTTGTGGCATCTAGAGAGAGCTTTGTAGAGCGTTTGTGAGATTATTGTATTTATCCCAAAATCATAGTAGATACCGTTGTTGCGGAAGACTGGACGTAGCCCATAGTTGGGGTGAACCAGTATAAATTGCTTGTGTCATTTTCTGTACTTTTCCTATTTTTCTTAGTACACTGACGAACTGTGAAAGAAAAAAAATATTATTGGTGGGTAATTTTTCGGAACATGCACAAATTAAAACATAAAATGAAGCATATGTATTAACTTTGGAGCATCAAGCAACAGGGGTATTTGTTTCTATTTTCTATATTTTATTTTTAGTTTTTAGAAATATATAAAGTGTACTTTCATAACTTCTCATTTCTTTTTTATGAAACGTTTCCAGATCTGTGTACAGATTTTTTAAACAATAAAGCCAAGTTTTTTATTTTTCGTTTTCAATTTTCCAGTTTTTTAATACCATAAATAAAAGTATTATTTTTGTTAAGGATGAAAGAAAAAAATTTCTTAAGATGAAACTCCGTGCCTGAATATTAATATAATATAAGAATCTAAAAGTTTGAAGGAGCATTTGGTCTAAAAATAATATCCGGTCAAGATGGATAAGTTAATAACGATCCTGAAGAGCATGTTAAAATATAAAAACGATTTCCAATTTTTTTTTTTTGTTTAAGAAAGAAAGAAAAACAATAGATAGTTTCTAAAAGTAGTTCTGTTTTTCTTTATTATTAAAAGTAACGAAATAAGGAACATAAAACCAAAACGTTACGAAACGTTGATGTAGATAATCATACTCGTAAAGGTTAAGCAGTACATTCAGGGGGGAGGCCGCGAGGGAACCTCTTGACATCGGCGCAGTAATCATAAACCATGTAGTTTCTCCGCACCCACTTGAGCTTCCGGCGGCCAGCCGAGTCCAACTTCTGGTAGAGCCAAGAGTCGTCCTTCGACGCACCGCCGCAGGAGGAGGAGCCAGCGGAGGACCAGACGCAGACCTGATCGGCGTCGAAGTTCGTGTAGGCTGCGGTGAAAGGTGCCAGGGACCAGTCAGTCTTCACTTGGCCTCCTCTGGTGGCCCAGTCGTCGGCATTCCAGAGGCTTGATTGTAGCCTCATTGCCTGGTTTTTGGGGAAGGCAATGCCAATGGACTCCATGTTCTTGAACTCTCTTATGGGAGTGCCATCAACGTACAATCTGTGCCAATGATCAAAAAGAAGAGGAAAAACGTTTTGGTTGGATTACAAAGTTACACCCTATATGATCATTTGGATGGTTTTATTTGTATGGTAAAAATTACAACTTTAGTTATTCTTTGAAATGTTCGGGTTGTGTTTAATTACTAGGCACAAAATTGTAAATTCAATGATCTGTTTAAATACTTTGAAAATGGGTTTTTTTGAGAAAAGGGTTGAGAAAACCATCAAAAGACAAGCAACTCGACAGTCCTAAAGCAGCCCGAAACCAACCATGGTTATAGAAGACATGAATATGAGTTAGACTATGGCACGTATATACCGACAATTGGTAAGCAACTTATTGTCCTTTTTAAGTCAAGAGCTAGTATTACTATCAGCTTCACCAAAGGATATTATAATTATAGAGTTTAAAAACTTATTAAACATAAAATTGAAAGTTATAGATCTATTAAATACAAGCGTGAAACTTGACTGACTAAAGTTGTAATTTAACCTATTTATTTATTTGATCTCTCAAAACAAAAATTATTTACATATCTAGATTCTTTTAATGATGGCATGACAAATTTAGTGAGAGAGATATTTCTTGATTCAAAACATGACAACAAATAATAATGAGAAGGAAGTAGATAGTTAAATAAAATAGAGTGACACACGGTCTATAAATGATATTTGGTATGTTGAAGGAGAGTATATACGGTTGCATGTTACTTTGTCTAACCTATTTACGGAATTACATCATTCAAAGTAAGAGTGTAAGTGTAAAAAAATTTGAAGTTTAGAGATTAAATAAACATAACCAATAAAATCGAGTGATTAAAGAGGAAGTTTACATGATATTTTGGGGATTCCATAGAAAGGAATAAGTGTGGAAATCAGCAGTTGGATCAAACCAGAGGCAAAATTGTTGCTCTCTGTCACCTTTGCCTTGAGTGAACACATTTGTATGAACAATGTATGGCTGACCGCTGAGGTTTCCTAAGAACTCAAAGTCGATCTCGTCCCACTTTGACCCTTTTGATCGTAACTATACTAAGTTAAAAAAGAACGTGTTAATCAACGAGTATAGTTCAACCACTAAGATATAAAATATTCGAATTCGAATTTTTCGATTTGTTGTTGAACTTAGAGGAAAAACATTCTTCGTGTCATTTTAATCTTTCTAAATTTTAAGTGATCATATTTCATTCTTATCTTTTATCTTTGACTAGGCAAAAGCCTACGAGTCATCTCTAACATTATTATTATAAATCCAATTCAACAAGTTAGTTATGGTTGCACTGTCTCAATTGACATTATCAACTAAAATAGTAACTTTTAAACCTAAGTCTTAGGCCTCATGGTATTAAGATAAAATTGTATATTAAAGAACTTATTATACTACGTGAAGATATGACTATAAGTAACCATGCATCTTTAATGTATGTTATTTTTTGTTAATACTCTAAATGACAATTTTAAAATATATATATATGTATAAAAATAAGCTTTTAAAACTATTTTTAAAATTTAATTTAGATTTTAAAAATATTTTAATTTAATTCAATAGTGTGATTCATTTTAATTCTTGAACACGATATTATTTTAATTTTAGTCAAAGTAATAAATGAAGCATAACGTATCTAAAAGGATAATAAGCTAAAAGAATGATGATTTTAAACCAAAATATCCTTAAATATCAATCTTAAATAAATTATAAATCTTTAACTTTAAAAAATCTTATAGTCCATATACTTTCATAGGAATAATAATTTAGTGGTACCGAAGAAAGAAAAGCATAATAATTTAGTCTGTAAACTTTAATTAATAATAGTTTAGTCCCTTTAAAATTTATAAAAATTTAATCCCTCCATTAGAAAATCTCATCAAAATTATGTATCGATTCTTATTAAGAAAATATTCGGCTATGAGGACTAAATTTGTTCTCACCTTTATATGTTTGACAACCAAGAGAGAAAATTACAAAAGTGAGAACTCTTTTCTTTTCAAATAATGAATTAAAAAGGTAGCAAGTGAGGACAAGATTTGTTCCCATCGATAACGAGTCAAGTATTAGTACTTGTAATTAATTTATAAACATATTTAGTCCTTATACATTTATATCAATCTACCCATATAAGAAATCTTATCGAATTTTAATAATATTTTTCACGATAGAACTAAATCGAGTTGACCATTATTATTATTATTATTTTTTTATATTTACTATGCCTCATTGATATTTATAGGATGGTCATGTGGACTGATATTTTAATCCTTAATTTAGAGAGTGAAACCCTTACGTAATACGCTGTGACGGTGCCGGCGGAGTTGCCGGGAACCAATTTGATCTGCATGTCAATTTTTCCGAACAAATACTGATTCCTCGACTGGAAGCCGGAGCCGGAGCTTTTGTCAAGCGAAAGCGTCAGCAACTTTCCGCCGTTTAGAATCTTGGCGCGGCCGCCGCCCCACGTGATCTTGATCTCCTTATTGAAATTGCCGGCGCCGGCGCCCCCAACGCCCAACATACATAACACCAAAACCACCGAATATAACCGTGGAGTTCCGGCCATCGGCGGCGGTCTTGGTTGCTTATTTATGTGTTTATTGGTTATGAGAAAAGTGGGAGAGAGAATAAAAGTTATATAGAAATTTTTTGAGGATATAGAGAGAGGGATCATAAAATTGGGATCAAATTTTGACGTGAAGACAAGATATTGAATGTGAAGCGGTTAAGAAGAGATCAAATTTTGTGGTTTGATGAATTGAAATTGGGGTCATAAATTCAGCATGGGAGAAAGAAATAAGAGAGGGGGGAAGGAAATGGAGAAAAATGTCTCAATATCATACCTCAGCTAACTTGAATAGATATGAATTTTGGTTTGAATATACGTCGATGTTGTTTGAAAAATTTAAAGATCAAAACGAATATTTTAAAAGTATAAATACTAAAGTGAACAGAATATTGAAAATATAGAAATTAAAATGAACGTTTTGAAAATGTAGAGACAAAAATAAACTACAGTTGAAATTACAGAATTCAAAATAGTATTTAGATCGTGGATTTATGGATAGGGGAAGTACTTTTCTTTTGGCTTAATTAGGTTGTTGGTTGGGAAGACTTGAAAGGAGAGAAAAGGTTGCAAAATAGTTAGTGAGTGAATTCAAGACACAAAATTTTGGGTGTTAGGTCAATCCGCTTACTCTTTGCGTTCTTACAAATAGTATGACATGTCTCTAATTTTTAAGTTTATGTCTAATTACTACTTGGATAGTATTTACATTTCTTATTCCTAATTTCTCATTTTTTATTTTTGAAAAATATCAGCGTTGGGTAAGTTTCTCATTTCTAACTCTTAGAAAATATTTCCAAGATTTTTAGAAATTTTAGAAATAACAAAATCAAGTTTACTCTTTCCAAAAAAAATTAAAAAAATAAAATAAAAATATTATTACATCACTTTTATTTTTAAAATGCATAAAAAAAAATTTGACTTCCGATGCATAAAAACTATTAAAAATGAATATAATATAAAAATTTTAAATATTTAATTTTGAAATACTAAATTTATATAAAAACTTTTACTTTTTAAGAAATTATAAAAGTAAATATGTTTATGTTTCTTTTTACAATTACAAAAAGAATGGAAAATAGAAGCATAGTTTTGTTTTTCTTGATTCAAAAAAGAGGAAACGAGAAAATAGTTATCAAACTCATGGTGTCAATTATTCTTAAGATAAGCTCATGTTGGCAAGTTTAAATTCCATTTTACTTCTCTACTTTTGGCTTTAGTTCATTTTCGTTCATATATTTTCAAAATTTCATTTTGGACTCTATACTTTAATTTTTATATTTTCAAAACATCCGTTTTGATCTTTGTATTTCTAAAAAGCTATCAATTTGGTCCATTTCTACATTAACAGAAATTTTTTAATACAAATTTACGGCTACAATTTTAAAAAATTTAGCAATTAAGATATCATGCTAATATTAGACAAATTGAGAGAAACGAGATAAAACTAGAAACGAAAAAGATTCAAAATAGTCACTTTTTAGAAGTACAGGAACACATGAATAAAAGTTGAAAACATTGAGATTAAGATCGAGAGTAGTTAAACCTTAAAAAGTAAAATTTAATGGGTCATTCAATTCCAACCAACTGTAAACCACAAATTTGAAGAATATTAAATGGAACAATTGAACTCTGATTGTTCTTAGGGGAGAGGCAGTGAAATTTGAAGGTTAAAAATGGGAAACCAAAATATTCTCTTCTTCTTCTTCTTCCTCATGTGGTTCTTCTTGTGCAGCTGTGCCCACCATATCTACTGGTTTCACAATAATGGCCATGGTTGCATTCAAGGCAAAGCCCATTAGTCAACACCCGTGTCTGCCTTCCTTTCTACGCCACGGTTTTGTTACATATTGGTATCCTAGCTTTCCCCTCTTTTGACTTCTTAGCTTACCCATAAACCTATCGAGACTCCATCCGAATATAGCTGAATAGGTAATAGTTCATTTGATAACATTCTCGTTTATTGTTTCATGTTTTTTCTTTTCAATTTTTAAAGAATATAAATATTTGGTAACGGTTCTTATTTCTAGTTTCTTACGTTTATGAATTATTTTTAAAATGGTGTAGAAATTAATTTAGAAACAATAAAATTAAGTTTTTTGTTTTTTGTTACCGTTCTGAGTTTTTTCAAAAACATAGATAAAATTAAAGCATTATTTTATCATTTTTTTACTTATAAATTCCATAATAAATATAAAAATATAAATGTAACCTACCAATTTGGAAAATTAATTCTCATATAAAACTTTTATTGTTTTCCAATTTAGAACTTTAGAAAATAAAAAATAAAAAATGATTATCGAACATATTTATGTCAATTTTTTCAATAAAAAAACATCAATAAATAGTTACTGAACGCAATTTTATTTTTATAGGATGAAAAAACAAAAAACAAGAAATAGATTAACTTGAGCATAGTTCAAGTGGTTAAGACATCTATCTTCGAACAAAATGTCGTGATTTCGAAACATCAACCCACATGTTGTACTTAAAAAGTAAGAAATAGGAAACAAACGAAAATAAGAATATTACCAAACAGATTCTATCATTTTCTAGTGCATCTTATTTTTCCATTGATTCTTATTTCTTTTCTGCTATATATTTTATATTTAAACCACTTTTGACTAAGTCGTTGAGGAGTAATTCCATATTTTGCAAGTGATAGACTTTATATTTTAAAATGCGTATGTATAGTTTCAAACATGTTCAAAATTATTTATCAAATTCTTGAAAATATACTCTTTGTTAAATATTTTAGGTTTAATTCCAAATTAAATTTCAATATTTTTAGTACACCGAGTAAACAAATTGATATTACTCGTCGTCTTCTAAATACAACAATTACTATCAAATTTTTTAGTACAAATTGTACCTCTTTTATCCCAAATTAAAACTCCCCAAGTTACTTTGTTGTATGGTAAACAAAAAAAAAAAGTAAGCTTTATCTTTCCCTAAATGTATTTTCACTCAAAATAAACGTGAGTAATATATTAAAAGTATTTAGGAAAGAGACACATATATGTGATTTTAGTAAAGATGAGCACTTCAAAACCAAACATAACTGATTTGTTATTGTGCAATTACTTTATTTTAAGTATTTATAATTAAAATGTTTTAGCTCAAAGCTAGTACACTCCTACTTACACCCAAAAGAGTTGTTTGTTTTTAGGAAATCTAAATACTTCATCTCATCTTGAAGCGTGAAATTAGCCTAGCAAATAAGTTACCAAATTGCACCACTTTTTGATTAATAGTGTTTGATTCAAGGTCGGAATCCACTAAGATCGGAACACGTTAGCTGACTTCTAAAGCACTGCACTCTTGAAGAACCTACAAAACAAGGTTAGTACTCCGACGAACAAGTCAGTCTCAATTTGATTTGATACTCAAAGTGAAAGTAGATTCGCTTACCTTGTTTAGGTAGCAAGCATCCTATTTATAGGGATATGATCTCTGACAAGAAAATGTTTACGTTGCCGACGTACCTGCTGATATCTTTAATAAGTCAGCTCATACTTGGATAGGTCGACCGAATAATGAAATAGCTAGGTTCGGATGACATATTCTCAGATAATGACTCGTGGTAGGTGATAAATTGCCTCCAATAAATAGGATTCGACGGAACCTGTTAAACAATAAAAGGATGTACACTACTGTACTCCTAGCTACTACACACTCCAATGATTTACATTAGATTTTGATTTGTTGTTTAACGTAACAAAAAATAGAGTTTTATAGCGTAACTTGATTATATGATACTTTAATTTGCTTTCAATTTGGAAGGAAAACCTAAGGTATTCTAGATTTTTTTTTTAATTTCCTAAATCCTATGGAGGACTCAAGTTTGAAGACTCTATTGACCTTAAAAAAAACTGAGAAATGGGATAAACCTGGAGGCTTGTCTTATGGGTTGGGACCCATGGATCCGTGCCCTTGGACTTCATTTATGGATGTTTCGCCCATTCATGCTCACAGGCTCAACATTTTGGATTGTTTCTAAGCTTGAGCTTTGGTTGAACCTCGATCGGTTTAATTACGCTTAACTAATAATGGACTTTTCTATAATTAATTCGTTCGTAGATTATGACTTTACTTTACCCATAATACTTGACAATTTTTAACATCTAGATGATTGAGAATGAGAATATGCATACTCGACGGAGGTATATATTAGCGATGTGGTATATCACTAATAGATTTATAGATATTTGATCAAAGTTATTTTACTCTTTTTCTTCGATAGGTTTGTGTGGTTTTTTTTTTCCTTTTTTGTGTTATATTTGCATATTCAAATTATTATTGTAATTACTAATCTTCAATAGTGTGAGTTTAAATTTGCACAGATACATGTTGTATTCGAAAAAAGAAAAAGAAAAATGAACTAACGGTAACTAAGCCAATTAACTCTTACCCATTAAAATCGAATCAAGCCAACTAAACCGACAAATCAAACTTAAAAATAATGTTTTAAGTGGAAATTAATCCTTGAAGCCTTTTGTAATCCAAAATTTAACTGAGTTCTAATCAAACTTAGAACATTATTAGCAGAGATTGTGTGTAATGCTTCATGCTATATACTAAAAAAAAAAGTTTCCAAATTTGATGGAGTATTCTTTTCTTGATAACTTGAGCCGGGAAGGTATAAGTGCGAGAATATGAATATCAGTGAAAGTCGGGAAAAACCAACACTTTTTGCCCCGCCGACTAAGCATTTGCTGGAGCGAGCAAGGGATCTTCAATGGCTTCCCATGGTGAAAAGCCCTTGGTTTATCGTGGATCTCTTCGGAACTTCCTAGAAAGGTAAATATCAATGCACCCATATTCCTCACCCTTCTTCATTCTCAATTTTCAAACCCTCGCACACCATTCTAAGAAGCTACTCTCGTTGCAATTCTCCTTTTCAAGTTAGTTCCTGCTTCAAATCGCTGTACTATAATCAACAGAGTTTGATTTTATGCAAATTTTTTTTTTTTGTTAAGTGTATAATGTGTTCATCTGAGCTGCTTGTTCTTATGTTTCTCTGATTGCCGATCAAATATAGGAGACTTGAGAGAGGAAGTTATTGGGTTTTCTTTGCATGCCAAAAGCCCTTTACAAAATTTGTTATCATATTGGGAAATTTATCACTCACTTGGAAATTGGACGGCATGATTGTGTCATTTGTATGGAATTGAAATGAAATTTTCTGAAGTAATCGTTTCTTTTTCTGTGAGATATTAGTTCTTTAGTTACTTTAAACTTGATATTAGGATCTCTGAATTTAAAGTCCATGGGTGATGTTTGCTCGTAGGAATAGATATGATTTGGTAATTTGTTATTAATTGAAAATGGCAATCTCCCACAGGAATGGCTTTTCTAGAGGTAAAACAGCAACTCCTGAGTGAGATTGAAGCTTTGGGATTCCCTAGGGCTCGAGCAGTCCGAGCGCTTCATAATACCGGTGAGTCTTGACACATGACATTCATAGTTCCTACTTCTGCCTTCCAAAGGTACAGCTAAAGATTGATGAATGAGGACTAAGAGCCTCTCATCTACAAAATCAACTAATTTTTATTCCATCTTTCACTGCAATATAGAGTTTGAATGATTGAATTATTTGCAGTTTATCGTCTCAAACAAACACTTTCTCTGTTCTTCAGGCAATGTCAGCTCTGAAGTTGCAATAAATTGGATCATTGATCATGAGAGTGATCCAGATATAGATCGAATGCCCCTGGTATAATTCTACATTTATGTAGGTTTCTTATATTCCATTCATTTAGTTAGATTTTTTGGACAACTTTTTTGTATTTTTTTGTGTGCAGAAATATTGTTGAAATTTAAGTCAGTCATTTTTATTTTTTTGTGCTTTTCAATTTAAGGACTCTTGCACAATATAGCTCTGGATAACCATAATACTGGATCGTTGCAACTAAAAATGGTGGATGGACTGGACTAGATTTTAGTTTCACACTGATTAATATAACCAAGGAATGTTATGCAGGTGGCAGTAAACATTGATATTGAACCTTCTGAACCATTTCATATCACAGAAGATATGAAAAGGAAAGCTAAGGAGCTAAGGTATGATATCAGGATTCGTTTACTGTGAAAGACCTCAATGCTTTACACTTTTCTTTTTTAATTTAGGAGTAGCTGCACATATTAGCAATTTGGCCTAAAATAATAGCAAATCTAGCCCCCACTAAAAGAAAATTGCAAATATGAGAATTTTCAAAAAAGTCCATCAACATATCTCAACCCTACACGTTTAATTATTCACTCTGCTGTTTTATATCATCTGAAATGTTTTTATAATCTTGGATAATTCCCTTATATTCTTATTGATTTTCCTATGCTTAGGAATCAAATGCGTCAGGAAAAGGAAGAAGAAGAAGAGAAGTCAGAAAGACAAAGAGAGAAGGTAGCATGTTCAAATCTTTGATTTTCCCTTCTTCTTCCTTTTAACTGGATAAAGATTATTGTTTCATTTTTGTATAGACGTGGTAAATTTTCAGTAATTACATATCAACACAACTGGTAGGTGAATAGTTGTAAATCAGAGTGTTGATAGTGCCAGAAGTTTACCATTGTATATGTAATACTTGATGCTATATTACGTATCTTAGCATGGCTTTGCTAATCATTCAATTATTACTATTTTACTCCTTCACTGTATAGTGACTAATTTTATAATTGTGGGTAGAAATGTTTAAGCCTCGACTTGGTGGATAGATTGAATTTGACTTGTCAATTAGTATGCTCTCAAATCATGAGTATAGATTTCAATTTTGTATCCATATGTTGGATGCGACACTATTTAGTAAGCTTAACTGTATGTTAATTTTCATGATTTAGTGCTTGCAATTTTTATAGGATAGAATTCATTCTGGTAAAGAACTGCAAGAAGCAAAAAGAATTGCAGAAGAAACTGAAAGGAAACGGTTTGGTTTCTTTATCAATCTTGTTTCTGATTTTCTTCTCAGGCACTTAAAGCATTATAGCTTTCTCTTTCAACTAAAAGATGCATTTTTATTTGCTCAGGTATATAGATTCTAGGCAAGCTGAGAAACGGGAGGAGAAAAACGCCAGGGAAAAAGTTTTACAGAAACTTGAACAAGATAAGGTTTGCTTTTTCCACCACTATTTATTATGTTATATCACTTCAAGGAGATTTTTCTTGTCCTCAATCATCAAAATTAAGATAGTTTTTCTTAAGACTGCTAAAAATCTCAATTTCCCTCAGATAGAAAGAAAGAGGAATCTTGGAATGACCTCTGAAAGGCTTGCTACAAAACCTACCGCAACCGGAACAGGGGAAAAGGATGAATTTAATCCACAGAATTCGCTGCCAGCAATTTCTGTTGGTATAGCAGTCTCTATGAGAGAATGTTTAAGGTCTCTTAAGCACCATCGAAAGGTAATGATATATATGGAAAATGTTGTGGGGTGTTTCTTGATGAAGCATTTTAATAAGTTTTACTAATCACGATTACTATAAAATGTCATGATTTTGGTGTCATCCCTCCAAAAGTTTCCTTTATCAATCCTGATGCTGACTTCGTTTTCTTCCTGAAATTTTCGTGTTTACAGACAGTAGGAACGTGGAAATCCAACGAAAATTTAATTCTTTACAACAAATTTTTGTACTCGTTATCCCAAAATCTTTTATTGCCATTGGTTTTGCATCCCACAACTGAATTGATTTATGTATAAAAAAGCTGTGCCCAGTTTTCCTCTTCACTTTTGGAGTAAAAAACCATGGGGACTATGACATATCCAAAGACTAGAGAAAGAATTGAAGTCACTAGATTTAGCCATTTCCTAAAAATTTGTGTTTGCAGTTTCAACTTTTTATACAAAAAGCTATATCTTACATAATTGCTTGATTAACACGCTTTCTTACTTCTAATTGTTCGATTTCTGGGATCAAGGATGATTCTGAAAAAGTGAGAAAGGCCTTCCAAACCCTCTTCATCTATGTCAGGAATGTTGCAAAAAAACCTGATGAGGAAAAGTTTAGGAAGATTCGACTTAGTAACCCTTTGTTCCAGGTAAAGTTTTCTAATCCAAAATGTGGATTACAAACACCACATAGTGATAACGGCTCGTAATTTGCTGCAAAAATTCATACAATATTCTCCATGAGGCCCAAAATTTGCTTGTAGTTCTTTGGCCTTACTGCCACGTAGTTTGAGCATTATGCATTCAACTCTTTCAAATTGATAGGTCCATTATGAGTACAGGAAGGCAGGAACTGATCATTTTTAATTTCTTGAGAATCATGCCTTTGGTTAGTTATGAGTTCTCATCCCATGTAAATCATCGATCAACCCAAAAATTTAAGTTGATGGGTTACGATAAATTTAATCTTTTATAGATACCTGAACATTCCCTCTCACTTGTTGACTTAAAAATTGCACAAGGCTCAACAATGATATGATTATAAGTATTAAATAGGGAGGAAATGGAAATGACATTACAGGGGTTCAAATACTGGACATCCTAGTCTGATACCTTGTTAAATCACCAATCAATCGGAAAGCTTACTTTTAGGTGCTTTTTGGCTTTTAGGTTGATTGGTGATTTAACATTTTATTTGCTAATTTTCTCCTCCCCTGAGGATATCCATTCGTTATTGCAACTCGAGATTAATGAAAATTCACCATGAGATCCAACTGAATTTGCATTTTTCAAGCTTCAAATTTGAATGATTAGACTTCAGCAGGTGCATACATTGTTGGAATTAATATTAGCATCTTCTTTTATATCAACCAGTTCCTAAGATAAGATATATTCTTCATTCATCTCTCATTGTTTTTGTCCTTCAACAGGAGAGAGTTGGGAGTTTGAAGGGAGGAATTGAGTTTCTTGAACTTTGTGGCTTTCAGAGAAAAGGAGAGTTTCTGTACCTTCCTCGCGATAAAGTCGACCCGAGAGTTTTATTCACTGCTGGATCACTGTTGGAATCTGCATTGACAAATCCCTTTTTTGGTATTCTACAATCAGTTTGAGCTCCTAACAAGGTAGAGCCAGTTTACTGTACTTATTCATAACTGAAAAGAGAGGCCATATAACCTTCTTGCTTTGGGATTTGAGAATGATGTACATCATAAAATTACTTTCTGAAATGATCATATAGTAACAGTGGTAATTTTAACGCATAAGGCTCGGAATATCGTAGCAAATACTAGTTTGATACTGTTGGATGAATGAGAGAAAAATGAAAAATTATATTTCATCTCTAAGTATTTCGACTAGATGAATAGAAGATCAAGAGCTATTTCTTGAGTGTCGAATTTTCAATCGATGTTTTGTCAATCTCTGTAGCAACGATGACAACATGGGAAACAACCTTAGGTCGCTCTTAAAATATATATACAAAATGGTTTCGTCATAACTCTTTCAACTATTTCCAAAACTTTTTGTTGCCTACAGTTATTAAACCCAAAAGATAATGCAAAATGCCCTTACTAATATTTATGCATGCAAATAAATATACTAAAAAAAAAGGTTCATGCAAATAACCTATCCAAAAACAAATTATTGATTGAGGGGAGAAAGGGATGCTTGTTACCTAAGTGACATGTGTTTTAACCATTTGAGATTAACAATTTTATACTCATCTAGTGGGAGAAATTTTGCATTAATCATCCTATTTTAGTATTCTTTTTTATGCATATCTTGTGTAACTTTTATTATAACATTGCAACAGCGAAATTAAGGAGATTCGAATCTACAACTAGAGGGTAAACAATAGTGTCGAAATTAAGGAGATTCGAATCTACAACTAGAGGGTAAACAATAGTGTTGACCACTTTTTTTAAATATTACAGTCAGTGTTCAAGCTATGTTGCGTTGATATTAAGCTCGTTATCTTCAACATTTTGATGGGAACAAATTGGAAATGAGAACAACAAAGAAGAAACTTGTTTCTGTTGTTCCAAAATTTCTATACAATTTTGAGAATATTAAAAAAAAATGTAGAAATAAAAAACGCAATTATTTGTAAAATGTTTTATCATGGTTGAATTCATAGATGTTGGGATCATAAATTTGTTTGAATAAATTTTGTGCTAAAAATTGAGTTAACATTGACCAAAATATTTAAAAAATACAGGCGAAATGCAATAAAAGTATAATGGTATTTAAACCTTTAATTGAAATCTTAGTTGAAGTTCAACGAGTTTATAACCAACTTAAGCCATACCGTTTGGATAATTTCATTCAAAAGAATCAAGAATCGAATCTGTGCATTAGACAAATGTAATTACTGCCCTAATTCACAGAACAGGATTAGGAATTAGGATTGAATATTGATTGAGCAATGAGAAGGAATTAATTTGAATGTGATTACTGATTAGCAGATAAAGCACCAGAAATCCAGATTTATTGATAACGACAAATCCACGAGTGGGAAGAAAAATGTCCGCCAGAAACTCATGGTCCGAAACAGCTCCTCTTCTCGCTCACCAGCATCGCTTCCAATCGCTGCCTGCTCGTCTCCCTTCCTCCGTCCTCGGAATGGCTTCTGTAACTGACCCTCCCCTTCCCCTTCGATCGGTCTTCCTCGGCGTCGACGTTGGCACCGGCAGCGCCCGCGCAGGTTTCCCATTTTCTCATTCCTCGCGCTCTCTTTATTTGATTTGAATTACCAATCCATATTGTTTTTCTCTGATTCTCGGCCCCTTCCATTTGGGAACTGCTTGTGCTGTGTTGTTTCCTGGGATTATCATTATATGCGTTTATGCACTCGAGGATGAAGGGTGTTGATTGTATATTGGCGATCAAGATATGTAGAGGGTATTGGACAGTGTCGCTGTAAGAACGAGTTGTAGTGGGAGAGAAAGTGTTGTGCTTACATGGATGTTTTTACCACTTTTTTCTCAAAATTTTTATCTGATTTTGAAAATTCAGAAAGCGCTTAAAGAAACTGCAAAGTGATTTACTTCTCCTAAAAGTGCTAAGTTCATTCACTAAAGGTCATCATAAATTCTTCTTTTATGGATCAATCAACCAGAAGTCAATTTTAGGGGTGCGTCAGTTAGCAGCCGGGGGAGTTAATTGGCAGTTTGTTAGTCAAGTTGCAGTTGGAGAGAGTGTAATAAGTAGAGAGGTCAGTTCTGGGTCAGATGTGCTATTCATTCCCTCCATTGCTTACTTGGTTGGGCACTCAATTAGATGCTTCTCAACCGTTGAAAAATACTTCAAAATACATGGTTGGCTCGTTTTGATTGCCCTCCGGAAAGTTACTTGATAAATAATTGTGGGTTTGGAGTTCTACTGAGTACTGACAACTAACTAGTAGTTAGTTTTCTTCCCCATTAAGACAGGTACGGAGAGACAAATACCCCAAATATTTTTTTTTTCTGGGAACTCGTCCATAGAGCAATCAGCACTCAAGTCATGGTACAAAAGAAGCACCCCAACATGGCCATCTCTCCAAATGTTTGCTTCCTTTGTTATAAAGAGGCTGAAACACAAGGACGTCCTTTCATTTCTTGTGATTTTGCCGCCAGTTTTTTTGGTCAAGGGCCCTATCTTCCTTCGGTTGGCAAACCCCCTTACACACAATCCCAAAGATTTTCCTTCAAGCATTATTGGTGGGTCACCCCTTCAAAAGGGAAGAAGTCCTTCGGGTTTAGTTGGTCAAAGCCTTTCTTTGGAGTGTATGGCTTGAAAGAAACAATAAGATATTCAAGAACTCTCCCTTTTAATTTCTTTTTTGATAGAGTTATGGGTTTAGCTCTTGATTGGTGCAAATGTTTCTATTCTTCACTTATTAATTACAAGCTAG